CTCAGACATGGTTTGGAGGTAAGATCATCAGGATTGGTAATAGCAGCCACAGCGCAGTTCTGGTTCTCAAATTCCCTTTTCCAGGCCTTCTAAATCACGGCCCCTTCTCCAGCCCTCCCCAGTTCCCAGCCACAAAGATGCTCAGCTATTCACAGCGGCCAAAGGTGGGAACGACAGAATATCCCTCAAAGGATGAAAGGATAAACAAAATGTAGCGTATCCGTACAGTGAAATATGAGTCAGCCATAAAGAAAGGAAGTACTGATAAATGCTGTGATGTGGACGGACATTGAAAACACTATGCTAAGTGAAAGAAGCCACGCACAAAATGCCCCATATTGTGATTCCACTTACATGAAATATCCAGAATAGATAAATCTATAGCAACAGAAAGTAGAAGCAACGTACTGAATGTGAGAAGATATTGCCAAATGATATATCCAATGAGGGGTTAATATCCAAAATATACAAAGAACTCACGCAACCTAACACCCCAAAACCAAATAATACAATTAAAATAGGCAGAAGACATAAATAGACATTTTCCCAAAGAAGACATACAGATGGCCAATAGACACATGAAAAGATGCTCAATGTCACTCATCATCAGGGAAATGAAAATTAAAACCACAATGAGATATCACCTTACACCCATTGGAATAGCTAGAATTAAACAACAACAACAACAGCAGCAACAAGAAATAACATGTGTTGGTGACGATATGGAGAAAAAGGGACTCTCCTGATGGTGGGAATGTAAATTGGTGCAACCACTGTGGAAAACAGTGTGGAGATGCCTCAAAAAATTAAAAACAGAAATACAGTATGATCCAGTAATCCCACTACTAAGTATTTATCCAAAGAAAACAAAAACACTAATTTGAAAAGATATATGCATTCCTGTATTTATTGCAGCATTACTTATAATAGCCAAGATATGGAAGCAACCCAAGTGTCCATCCAGAGATGTGGTGTATATACATAATAGAATATTACTCGGCCATAAAAAAGACTGAAATCTTACCATTTGCAACAACATGGATGGACCCTAGAGGGTATAGTGCTAAGTGAAATAAGTCAGACAGAGAAAGACGAGCATTATACAATTTTACTTATTTACTTATTTACTTATATGTGGAATCTAAAAAACAAGACAAATGAATAAACAAATAAACAATAACAAAAACCAGAAAGAGATCCCTAAATACAGAGAACAAACTAGTGGCTGCTAGTGGGGGAGGGGGGGTTGGAGATGGGCGAAATGGGTAAAGAGGAGTGGAAGGCACAGGCTTCTAGTTATGGAAGAGTAGTTACAGGGATGAAAAGGACAGCACAGGGAGTATAATCACTAATATTGTAATAATGTTGCATGGTGACAGATGGTGGCTACACTTGTGAACAGAGCCTAAGTATAGAGTTGTTGAATCACTATGTTGTACACCTAAAGCTAATGTAGCATTGTCTGTCAACTATACTTCCATGAAAAAAAAAAAAGACAGAAAGTAGAATGGTGGTTGCCAGGGGCTGGGGGGAGGGGAGAAAGGGGAGTGACTGCTAATGGATGTGGGGTTTTACTTTGGGGTGACAGGAAGGTTCTGAAACTAGATAGTGTTGGTGATTAAACATCATGAATGTACTAAATGTCACTGAATTGTTTCTTTTATTTTGTGCTGGTGACTTTTTTTTTTAAGATTTTATTTATTTATTTATTTTAGAGAGAGAGAGATTGAGACCATGCACATCAGAAGCAGAGGGAGAAAGAATCTGAAGCAGACTCTGCACTCAGCATGGAGCCTGATGTGGGGCTTGATCTCACGACCCTGAGATCATGACCTGAGCCAAAACTAAGAGTAGTACGCTTCACTGACTGAGCCACCCAGGCGCCCCTGTGTTGGTGACTTTTTAAAGCTGGGAGCTGTATCTTTTTTCTTTTCTTTCTTTATTTTCAGCTTTATTGAGGTATAATTGACAAAATAAAATGTAAGATATTTAAAGCATACATCATGATGATTTGATATATATAAACATTGTGAAAAGATTCCTCTCCCCTAGTTAACACATTCATCAATGTGTTTTAGTGTTTCTTTTTTGTTTTTTTTTTTCTTTTGGTGAGAACATTTAAGTTCTACTCTCTTAGCAAATTTAAATTATACAAACTGTTATCAACTAGTCACCATGCTCTCTCTCTCTCTCTCTATATATATATATACTTAAAGATTTTATTTATTTACTTGTCAGAGAGAGAGAGAGAAAGAGCACAAGCAGGGAGAGTGGCAGGCAGAGGGAGAAGCAGGCTCTCGCTGAGCAAGGAGCACAATGTGGGGCTCGATCCCAGGACCATGGGATCATGACCTGAGCCGAAGGCAGATGCTTAACCAACTGAGCCACCCAGGCATCCCTCACCATGCTACATATTATGTTTACTTTAAAATGGTTAATTTGGGGGGCGCCTGGGTGGCTCAGTTGGTTAAGCGACTGCCTTCTGCTCAGGTCATGATCCTGGAGTCCCGGGATCGAGTCCCGCATCGGGCTCCCTGCTCGGCAGGGAGTCTGCTTCTCCCTCTGACCCTCCC